ACAGACTAGTGTACCGAGTGCTGATTGCCACGCATCCGTTGGCATATTTTCAATTAAATCCAGAAACAATCCATCATCCATATACACCGACACATTAAATTCCCTAAGAAAATTTGCGTATAAAGAAACTTTTTACGTTTGATGGTTTACAGCAGTAATGGTGTTGGTTGTTAACGACCTACTCCGCTTACTTAGATACTTCATCGTGGTCTAAAAGTGGGAGCATTCGGGATGAAGTAGTGATGCTTAACATACACCGAGGAGGAAATCCCGAAATGGCTGCCAAATGCTTCCTGTCAGGAGAATCGTTGAGCCCATATCCCTTCCGAAGAAAAACAAAAGTCAGAATCGCCAACAGACTGACCACCAGGCGATGATGCAGCACTAGCCAAAGTAACTGAAAAAGTTGTCAGCTATGCTAGTAGAAGAGCTCACCGGTGGAAGAGGATTTAGATAAAACTGAATGAAATTCGCAGACTGTAAATCCAAAAAAGAAAAACCTGTATCGGTCAATGATGGCGCGCCACTTGCTCAACAGCACGCCACGTTCCGGCCATTCTTTCAAATTCTCACCATAATAAGCTGTTGTAAAGAAGAATTTTTGCAAACTGCCACTGCAATAAGAAATCGTTTTTGCCCGTTTTTGCATTTGTTGTGGAACAAAATATTTCCTTTCTGAGTGAAAAACGAATGTCAGAATTGCCTGCAGATTGACTACAAAGTGGTGCAGCACACGCTCTTTTATTCGAGAATGCTCCAAAAAGACATCTGGTGTGAATATATTTACCTAAGTAAAGGCATTCGGAAGTATTCGGAACCACAGCAACCATTCGCTCTACCAGAGCGACCACTTGACGTTAATGAGCTACGAAGCGGAACTTGAGATTTTAATCTTTGACTCGGAGCAATATTTTTCAAAAGCTGATCATACAGAGTTTCAGTGAAATTAACGAAAACTTACGTAGTTTCATTAAAAATTACAAATCCTCGCCATTTTTCATATTCGGGCCAGTTCAAAAATGCTGGCAAATCGCTGTCCCTGAGCAAGATAGCACCATTTGTGGTATCTGAAGTACTGTTTAAATTATAAATTTAATGAATGTAAAAAACAATTAAAGTCGCATGAGTTGTTCTATTCCAGGAATAATCATGATGAAAGATGCAAAGATTTTTAAGATTTTGACCCCCTCCTCCGCTGCACAACAGCTGCCCTGGGGGAACCGATAACGGTGAATTTCTGTGTTCTGCAGTGAATTTCTAGCTTTGATAAGCTGAGGAATTCGCGAAGCTAGGCTGACTTATTTAAACATCGAATCTTACTTCATTTGAGGCGAACCAGGTTGATACAGAAGCAACTTAATGCTTAAAAAAGGATCCAATTGGATTTAATCTGACTTGGTGCGGTAAAACCTCACGTGAGCCGGACTTTCGCGGACCAATCCTATCTGTCCTTTAGAGCGACTTAGATTTTCTCTTCAACGACAAAATTTTTTTTTTTCCAGTAAGAACAACTGACAGATAGGACAAGTTGATATTAGAACTTCAGTAATACTTAACTGTAACAAGCCTAATGTGATCGAAGGTCGGCCTAGCATTGATCCATAAACGAAATTTAGGGATACTAAGACTGCCCATATTATTGATGTTACTGGGATACTTCCATAGGCCGGACCCGGGTGCAGCAATGTTAGACCATCAATCCTGAGCTGCACACCTCCAGTCAGCACCATCATCAGGTTGATGCATGTGCGTCATATTTTCAGGCTCCGCTCCAGTAGTCGTTTACTTTTCCATGGGTACAATTCAGTTTTGCCGCTTGTCAGCAAGACAAGAAACAAATAGACTAAAATTTTTTATAGAAAAAAGCTAAACACCTGGACCATCTTCCGCTTCGTTCAAATATTTTTCATACTCGATGAAATCACGCATAAAATAGTTGGTACCCTCCGGGCCCCACGAACCCTTCATATGTTCCAATTCAAAAACCATTTGATCCAAAAGTTGCAAACGCCGGGGATCCGATAGATTTCCCGGATTATTTACATAGAACTGCGCCATTGTATGCTGTGGTATTTGATATTCTTGCAGCAAATTGTTCGTCTGAAAACAATTTTTTTCAAGATTACAAAGATTCTTGCCCTGAATATTTCAGGCTTAGAAAAGCTGCTTTTTCGAAATCCGACAGAACTAATCTCGCAAGGCCTGCATATCCCTTAACAATCCAGGTTTTGATGTTTATAGGACCAATTCCTAATAGATTTTTTCGTTTGAGAAAGTTCACATATCAAAGCTTCTGGAAGATCATTAATAGATAGGCGCAAAAATCAAAGGACACACTGTGATCAACGCTAACATATTCACCTAGAAGTGGAAAAAAACAGGACAGAAAGTGAAGCTATAGCTTTAGTCACAGCTCACAGCAAACATCCGACATAATGAATGCAGCCGAAGCTGCCGAGGAAAAAATGATTGTCCAAAGTATTAAACCTCAATAATTGGTGAATCCTGGAAGAAGAGTTTTTCCGGCGTTAATTCGATTTTTAGCCGAGTTATTCCCTGCAAAATAAATAATCAAACTGGATATCAATTGTACATTAACTAAACGCATTCCCCAACACCTCTTTGCGAGCGATTGGATATTCCTAAAACCAAATCACTGCTCCGAAAAGCTGAGCTAAGAAGCTGAAATTTTTTGAGAGTAAGGAGATGTGTGCGAGTCCAAACAATCCTACTACAGCATGAAATCGTGCAAAAATGCATCATAGCGCCGGCAAGCCTGGCACGCGTGCATCGCAAACAATTAACTCTTGACAGATTCTGAACCTTGAAAAAATGAAACTAGCGTTTTTTTTTTTGTTTGAAAAAAAAAAACACAGCACTGTTCAGAATCTTTGCAGCACACTCGAAAAATTCGCTCTTTTCTTGAATTTTTTAACTCTTGAGAAATTTCGAATTTTAGAAAACATTTACGAACTTACAAAAATAGAAGCTGCAATAAACAGCACCCATATGCAAAATACAAAAAGTGCAAAAATGACATTCGTGATGAGCCGAACATAGCCTTCTAAAAATGCTGTACAACCACCTTTCATGTGTCCACGAAATTCACATGGATCCTGAAAAGTACAAGTTAGTTGTTCATGTGGAATAAAAAACAAGCTGATCAAAAATCAGTAAACAATCAGAAAGGTGGGAGCCCTCGCTGTGCTCCCTCTTTATGAGAGGCAGAGCGACATTCGGAAATAGTTTGACTGGTAGCAAAAAAAAAAAAAAAATGCCAACATCATCCACTTTTATCAGAGCAGTCGATAGCACTCTCTTTTGAGGACTGCTTAAAAGCTAACTGATAACGCGTTTGTCCTCTTGGCAAGCATTTACAGTGTTTTACTACTGAAACGAATGAACAAAATCCACCTGAGAGCAAAGGTTACTGATTGGTGCTTGCACAGTGTTAAAAGAACATGAGGAGGGACAGCCACTGCGGCCAAAAAAATCTGCTCGAACAGCCCTACCGAATTATGTGAAAATGAGAGATACTCAAAATGGAAGTTTTGGAGGAAAAGAAATGCAGCAATGAAAAAAAAGCTAACCGAAGCAAGTTATGAAATTAAAAACAATACCTGGCCACAACAGCTTGTTGCGTTAGCTTTTTTCTCGTTGCCAATTTCAATCGAATGCTTATTCTGATGGCCTGCCTCGGATTTCACTTCAAAATGTCCAGAAATACACATTATTGCTGAGTAAAACGTAAGCTGAAATTTTTTCTGCATTGTTTCTTACCACAATGGGTGCCTGTGCTGGATTGATCTAGATGTGTTAGACATTTTTACCGACTCTAAGAACAATCTTGTTAATCTTAGTGATGCCTACTTTTTTCCTCGGGACTGCTGGTTCGCAGGACTTTCTGTTTTAGTATAAACTGACGGAAGATTTTTTATTTTTTAACAAATATACCAAGAATACCAAACCAGACTATCAGTAAAAGCGGTTCCATAAGCTGGACACAACTCAGTCAGGACCTTTGATCCTAGGCTGCGTACCTCCGCTTGTGCTCTTTTCCCGTTTGGCGCATTTTAGCAGATAACTTTTGAAAATTTGTCTTGTTTTTTCCCCCTGCGAACTTTACAAGATAACTGCGGGTTTTCTGTTAAACGCGCATAAACTCTCTGCTAGTTGTTAAGGCGGTCTATGACCGATAAAGCTTGACAGAGATGGTTGACATCTCGAAACAGCTAGAGTTTTGACAAATATTTTTTGTCAAAAAAACCGTTAAGAGAGTAATCTTCGGGTGATGAAACAAATGTTTAATTGTCAATACAACATCGACAACAAAACACCAACTTGGTAGACATAATCCATGAAAATGGAAGACATGTTGCCATAGCACAGTAATGTTATGGTGGGTGAACCAGTGAAGGTACCAACTGCATCCGCTAGGATATTTGTCAGTGCAGAGATCAGTATAGCCGGACCAGTATCATTTAGGACCTGAAAATTGCTCTTAAAAAATTGCTAGTACAAATTTTTTTCTGTATGAGAAACGTTTATAACTTCGTTTATGCCTCGCAAGTAACAAACAAATACATTGATATATATATGCATGTATATATATATACATATATATTTAACGCTGGATAGTACAGAGCACAACTGCAGCAAGTACCAAGAATACATATCTAATTAAACAATTAATATTAAACAAAAAAACGAAATAATAATTAAAATAGTTGTCATCAAATTTTTTTGAAATTTTAGAAATTTTTG